TTATCAAAGGTCGACAGAAAGAACGCTAATATGCTTTATAAATCCAGAACTGGTAATGCAAAGAACATTCATTTGCTTACGAACAATGACTGCACAGACTGCTAACTCATTAAAGTTACTACATTTTTTATGAAGTAAAAATAGCAAATAATAACGGATACGGTGGCTATCAACGTTAAAAGTTTCCTATAACAAAAAAAAAAATAAACTTCTATTCTCCTAAATTTAAAAAAAAAAAAAAAAAAACTTCCAATTCGTTTTGTTTCTTTTGAAATTTTAGTGCTCATAAACGAGCAGATGCCTGCTTGGATAGTTGTCAAGGCAGCACAGATGTTGCCAATCGAATTCGACAATCTTATGCATCACTAAAAATTGTCTGCGTTGATCAGAAAACAGGTATATGCTATATCTTCTTTTTTCGTTCTTCCATAATTTCGCCTCGTTATAGTTTCTTCCTTGAATTTTTTTTCAACTGCAAACTGGAAAAATTAAGCGAGGAGCCAAAGAGGAAAGAGGAGGAAAGAAGAGAAGAAATTTTAGGAACAGGACTGGAAAAGTTTCAGGTCGGGGAAGTATATGGAAGAGTAAAGGAAGAGTGAAAGAAATAAGGGAAGAGGATGGAGGAGAAAAGCAGAAGAGTGATTGGGCTGAAAGTTTTTTTGACTGATGAAGATGGTGGCTGAAAATGAAACTGAAAGCGAGGAACTGGATGAAAAACTATATGCTTACCTAAATTAGATGACCAGTTCACTTTTAATGGATGATCCGTTGGTTAGCCCCGTAGTTGACGAACCAAAAAAAAAAAGATGTTCGATGAGAAAAAAAACGAAAGAAAAGAAAGAGGAAAAAAATATGCACAATCCAATAGGTAATAATGGATGTTTCCGTTAAACGAACAATGGGTTAAAGGAGGAATCAAAACGAGACCACCGAGTGTCTCAAGTGTGCAATTATCGCTGTGTATCATGAAAATATACACTGGCGCACACACAAATACAAACGCACATATATATATTGATGTATCTTTACTGAACGTATAAAACATACATAACTCAAACTGAAGATGAAACGGAACTAAAAGCGAAGTAAGAAGACGAAGGAGCAGTTGTAGGGAAGAGGAAAGATATAGTTAGTGGCGAAAGCAAGATGAAGAAATTATAAATATTCTTGATACAGCAAACCCATCTTTGCACCATTTGTCATTCTGTTTATAAATCTTTTCACGCAAATGCCACTTAGTTCATTATTTTTCAGTAACTTCTTGTATTTTTGTTTTTCTCCTCACATTTTACTGGAAAGCAAAAAGAAGAGCATTTGCTTTTTGCCTCTTTCCCAGTTGTAGCAACATTAATCGTTGTGACGTATAGATTCATGCATTTCTGTGTGTCTGTGTGTGCATTTATATAAACATATATATGTGTGTGTGTGTGTATGTGCATCTGTGGTCAGAGATTTAGTCGAAAGATAGAAGTATGGAAAAAACAATAAATCTTATTAAAAACACACCTACCAATATCAATCTTTGGACCGTTAAGATTGATGGACATTTCATTTTTTTTTTTTTTCTTTTGCTTCTTCTCACTGCAAAGAGGTAACAGAGAAAAACGTTTCTTTTCTTTTTGTTTTGTTGAATCAACACTTTTTTGATGTTCTTAAACAGATTTTTGTATAAAGGATAATTGAATATTCTGTGAATGGAAGAATATATAAAACTTAGCTAGGAGGAAGACAGTAACCGGCAAAAAAAAAGAGGGGGTTTTTTTTGCGGTTAACAAAGCCATCTAACTCCAATCAGTTGCTAATGCGGCAAATAATGCGTAAAGTAAGAAAATTACCTGTATCATGTGTCGCGGACATTAATTTTGGGTACATAATTTCCTTGTCTGTTTCCAGCGGTGAAATATGCGCCAAGATCAGTTTGTCTATGCAAAACCAGTAATATTTACATTTCTGCAGATCAAACTAGCCGAATACTAATTGTTCAAGCAATTTTCTTTTGCCTTTTTTTTTTTCTTTTTAGGTTATCACTATCGGTAGAATTCTATATATAGCCTACAGCTGCAACAACAAACTTCCTACCGCATTCCGTATGTACTGCTGTACTTTCGACAAAATTCATTGACATCCAAAAATTGATATTATTATTCAGGGGACTACAAAAAGTTTTTTCCTTTCGTCTTTCTGCTCCTTTGTTATCGTTTTCATACTTTCTTCTATAGCCTCAGTTCTTTTTGCTTCTTCTTCGTTT